GAATGTATTGTATTCGTCCTATGCATTACATTTAGTCTGATTGACGATAAAAAGAATAAGGTTTAAGTCGAGATACGACGTGGGGCGATAAAACACACGCACGCGCTCGCACACACACACACACACACACACACACACCCCCCCCCCCCCCCCCAAGTGTAGTTAGTTGTTTGACGTCACAATTTGTGTCTAGATATCTTGTTTCTGCCTTTTTCAACTGTAGCCAAATGTATGCAAAAATTCGTGCCAAAGGTTCCTTCTCTCTACATTGCTTGGACAAGTTTATCTTTTAAAGGCATGATAGCAGGGCTATAGGATGTAGAGTTTTAGACCCATTGTGGGTTGGAAAAAAAATGTACACTAGACTGTAGATCGTTTGTGACCCACGACGATATAACAGCCGAATAACTAATGAGGCTATAAAAATATCTATAGAAATAAACTGAAGCTATACAAATATCTATGCAAATAATATGGGAAAAATGACGCTTGTCAAAAAATAGTATCATTCAACGTGTGAGGCCGAGGAAAAATATAGTATTAATTACTCGTCCGGAGGTTTGTTATCTTAGTCCCTTGCTCGTAGTCTCTCAGGAAATGCATATACTTCTCTCCCTTGTTCCGTCATTGCTGGTAGCATTTCAGGAAGTCCTTTTTGGAAATGGAAGTATATCTCTTTCGTCAATATCTGCATAACTACTATATCAGATCCTTACAGCGGTATAGCCAAAAATCACAAGAAATTGTTTCGAAAAAATAAGGATGCTGATAAAAAAGAAGAACCCTATGTTGGCCAAGAAAAGAATCTCAATGTGATTCTAAGAGCCGACTGAAGTGTGTTGTCATGGTGGAATTGAGAAGTTCCAGTTGTTAATTAATGTAAATAATACCGAGGTATAGGGTGGGGTGGGTGAGGGGAACAGGGTCCTCGATCAGCAAGTACTTTAGAGTCCTTAGAGTCCATTAATGTAGACAATACTATTTCTTTGCCTTAAACTCTCACATGACCTATAGAGTCCATTAATGAAAAGAAATACTATTTCTTTGCCTTGATCTCTCACATGACTCGGGAAGTCGATTAATGTAGACAATAATATTTTTTTGCCTTAATCCCTCAAACGACGTGGAGATTCCATCAATGTAAAACACACTAACCTAAAGTTTTGAATACCCAACAGTTCTCACTCAGAGAAATCTGGCGTGGGATTGAAGTAAAGAAGGCCGAACTGAGACATCAGCCATGTTCAAATCCTCCAAGAAGGAAGAGGATAGTTATGTCTGCACTCTGGACTCGGAAGTACAAGAATAAAAAGCACAAAAGGTAAATTAAATGAGGATCCTAAAAACTCGTCTGTTGGAAGTTAAAAAATTTGAAGACTCGACTGGGAGAAAGTTCCAGGTATGGAGATCTCTTCTTCTATTCGACATGTTATTTATACTATGTTATCACAATCGACGTCACTAAACACTTGTTTGCATTGTCACCCATGCTCAGTCTTCCGATGGAGCATTCACTCCAAGGTACCTCAACAGTATTATTCCCGAAAGATGTTGATTCGAGTGTGTCTCCTGTCTTGACCTTCGAAGGACTGCGTATATGTGCTGCGTATATGTGCTCGCAAAGCTTTGCTATACTAGGTCACCGCAATTGTGTTATCGTCAGCGATTCATCTTTATTTCCCAACATCCTATGTTCGGACAGAGTTTATATCAGCGCTTTCGTGGCTTTTTACGTTTGCATATGTACATTAGTTCTACGGTTGATGGATGAAAGAAGGAAGAAAAAGAATTAAAAATAAGAATACTCTAGAATACAAAAAGAAATAGTGAACAAATGAAAAGTGGCTAAAGAAGAATGGCTGAATCAAATGTGTACAGTGATTTGGAAAAATCACAGGAAAGGCTCACATTCCATGTACCAGCAGATAAATATGTTAATAGGAAAGATGACACGTAACAGCACTGTATGTTTTTGAAATCAAAAGATGGTGGTGACTTTTATATTACTGGAACATCGTAATATAATTAGCAGATGGACAGAGTATTATAGGGGGAATTGATGATGATAATAGACCATATGTAGAACTGCAGACCAACAATGATGGTCCACCAATAATGACTGCCGAAGTTGAGGATGCAATATATCATATGAAGAAAGTAAAAGCACTCGGTACTGACAACATCTCACTGGAAGAAATCGAAGCACTGGGAGATTTTGGAACTGAAATAATAACTAAATTTTAAAATAATATTTATAATAGTGGGTATATTCCAAATGACCTTTTAAAATCCATATTTATAGCTCTTCCAAAGAAACCAGGCTATTTAAAATGTGAAGACCATCGCACAATAAGTCTTATGAGTCACATGACTAAGATTTTACTGAGAATAATTATGAGAAGAATAAGAAACAAAATTAAACCACAAATTAGCGATGAACAATGTGGATTTGTAGAAGGAAAAGGTGAAAACAATGCCATTTACATCCTAAAAACATTGTCAGAAAGAGCTATAGAAGTAAAGACTGATTTGTACGTGTGCTTCATAGAATATACAAAAGCATTTGACTGTGTGAAGCATGAAGAAGTAATCAAATTGTTAGAAAAATTAAAAATTGATTGGAAAGATTTACGAATAATAAAGAATATGTATTAGCAGCAAACAGCAGCTATAAGAATTAACAACTGTTTTTGTACATTTCTAAGCATAAAGAGGGGCGTACGACAAGGATGTGTACTGTCACCTGATTTGTTTTCAATAGACAGTGAATATATAATGAGAGCTTTAATTGGTATGCCCGGAATTGTGGTTGGTGGGCACAATATAAACAATTTACATTATGCTGATGACACAGTCTTGATAGCAACAAGTCCGAAAGAACTACAGGAAATGATAGACATTGTGGTGTTAGAAAGTGGAAGAATGGGCCTCAGTTTGAATAATGGGAAGACAGAAGTAATGGTGGTATCAAAGAAACGAATTATTCCTGAATGTGTAATAAAAGTCAGATGGTGTTATTTAAGGACAAAGTACAGAAATTTAAGTATCTGGGTCACACATGGATAACATCAGATGGAAGATGCATAACTGAGATAAGAAAAAGAATAGGACAGGCAAAACTGCATTTTATAAAATGTAAAAATATCTTGTGCAATATATTCTTGTCATTGAGAGTTCGAAAAAAGAATTCTTGCTTGCTACATACATCCTGTTTTAACATATGGCTGTGAATCCTGGACAATCAATAGGCAGGCCAAACAATGTCTTCGGATCCAACCACCCCTGTGCTCAGTACGGTTTGAATTTGTCTTAACACGTTTTAAATGCGCATGTATGTTACTGTATATGTTGAGACTGCAGTCTGTGTCATTATTGTCCCCGAGGGACAGTGATTTTAGCTCTCGATCCATGATCGAAATCAACGTAGAGCTGTCTGCTGCAGTGTCGCCCGCAGCTGGACTGGAATCGTATTCCGGCATTACGAAGCGCGTTCGCAACGCCTGAGCCATAGACGCCCTCGCAGTGTTAGAGTTACAGAATGAGGGGAATCACGTTTATGCAACAACTAGATCTTCTCATTTCTTCTTTACGCTCTCCCTGTTGGTGGTTTTCAGATAAGAATATCAAGGAAAGATATAAACTCGAACGAAAAGTATATCAGCAAGCTTCACAATATAAACAAACACGAACAAAACGTGAACGTTGCGGCTATGGAGCCTTCACCAGCAGATACACAAATTAGACAATACTACACAAATACGCAGTATCACTTATCTTTGTTTCTAGAAGCAGATTAGAGATAAGGAGGATAAGCAGATAAGAAGGCAACATGCCGTTATCAAGGCGATGGAGAGATACGTGTTACGTGATACGTGGATATGTTATCCACTAATCAATACAGTTTGGTTTCCTCCGAATACCAGCGGATCAGACCTGGGACCTACAGCTTGGTTTCCATCGAATGCCAGTTGATCAGACCTGGGACCTACAGCTTGGTTTCCACCGAATGCCAGCTGCTCAGACCTGGGACCTACAGCTTGGTTTCCACCGAATGCCAGCTGCTCACACCTGGGACCTACAGCTTGGTTTCCACCGAATGCCAGCTGCTCAGACCTGGGACCTACAGCTTGGTTTCCATCGAATGCCAGCTGCTCAGACCTGGGACCTACAGCTTGGTTTCTACCGAATGCCAGCTGATCAGACCTGGGACCTACAGCTTGGTTTCCACCGAATGCCAGCTGCTCAGACCTGGGACCCACAGCTTGGTTTCCACCGAATGCCAGTTGATCAGACCTGGGACCTACAGCTTGGTTTCCACCGAATGCCAGCTGCTCAGACCTGGGACCTACAGCTTGGTTTCTACCGTATGCCAGCTGATCAGACCTGGGACCTACAGCTTGGTTTCCACCGAATGCCAGCTGCTCAGACCTGGGACCCACAGCTTGGTTTCCACCGAATGCCAGTTGATCAGACCTGGGACCTACAGCTGGGTTTCCACCGAATGCCAGCTGCTCAGACCTGGGACCTACAGCTTGGTTTCCACCGAATGCCAGCTGATCAGACCTGGGACCTACAGCTTGGTTTCCACCGAATGCCAGCTGCTCAGACCTGGGACCTACAGCTTGGTTTCCACTGAATGCCAGCTGCTCAGACCTGGGACCTACCTTCCTTCAGCATGTAAACAGGATGTCTAACGCACATGTTCAATTTCTGTGGTGTCCCTCCACAAAGGTACACCCCCTACATCCCCACCCCCAGGCTTGATGTTCCCTTACATACACTGGACTTCAGAGTCTGCTGTGCCCAGTTCACAATCTAAATACAATGGGCGGTGTGCAACAGTTCGGTGAGGAATTAGAAGTTAATGATGTAAGGAGAAATTAATAAACACATTATGGTTAAAAAGGTACTGAGTTATGGCATGTCGCTTTTAGCTTAACAGCTAAACATAAACATACAGTTTAACACAAAGATCGAAACATATACAACTATGTTCCCAGGTCTGCAGCCACGAACTGATGTCCAGTTTCTCCTACGTTTCTTACGAGCTCGCAAGTTTGACCAGGAAAGGACTTTCCAACTGGTGAAGAATTATTACGACATCCGTCTCCAGTTTCCGGACATTTTCAGTGATCTAAAACCATCTCGGGTTCGGCATGTCTTTGACGATGGCATCATTGAGGTTTTGAAACAATGTGACAATGGAGGATGTAGAGTCATCATTTTCAGACCAGGTTAGCAGAATTTTGTAAACGTAAATTTAATGTAGTGATTAAAGTAAAGTGTGACAGTGACAGCAAGTTGACCATAGGACCATAGTGTGTGGGTAATTTTCCTGCCAACCTTAGTGACAAGATCCTAAAGGCAGTATCAATAAAACAGACTTACGCAAAAATTAAAAGCTGATAAATAACTATTAGACATATTCTTGTTGTAGTTTCCAGGATCCTATTGAGGGAAAGAAAAGAATAGACTCACTGACTACCCAGCAAGCATGTCGTAGTAGTCTAAAAATTTGAGACTTCCTTCAAAGTCATAGTGCATCTGCCCGAGCAGCAAGGAACAACCAACGGCACACAAAAAGCCAGTAAAACGGCTGTACATACAAAACTCAGACCCTGGCACAAAGGCAAAGTCCAAATGGACGAACAACCAGGACTTTCTACAAGAGCGTACATACGTTTAACAAAGAATTCAAATAATAATTTAAAAAAATTATTAACAACGGTTACAACATACAATTACAAGCAATACCTTCATCATTAATCAGTGGGTCGTTTTCCGAACTTCACTGTCATAAAAGCACGCATAAAAGTCTCTCTCTAACCAGGTCTCCAGCCCTATGTGCCTAACGAATGCATCTTTAATGTCTTGTATCCACATTTGCAGAGGTTTGCCTCTTCTTTGTTTTCTGGAACCTGAACCATTAAAACATATTTTTAAGTTTTAAAATACACAGTCAAACACGTTGAGTTGAGTTGAGTCAGACCCTTTGGTTACAGCCAGGCGCTTCCTTCTCTCCAGGCCATAATAATCTTTGTTCTCTACTGATTCCGTTGCTTGTTTCCAAAGGGCTTTGACCACATCTGCCTTGTCATGTATCAGTTCACCACCCAGTGATGCAGATCCAGCCAATCTGTCTGCCTGTTCATTACCCACCATGCCGATATGGCCTGGAAGAAAGATCCAAAGTTTGCTCACCACCCGTGACCTTTCCAGTGAGGCTTGCCACTCTGCTTGAATCATCCCTGTTTTCACCTTTCTCAGCATGCTTTCAGCGTCTGTTACAATTACGAAATGTGTATGCATCTTGTTCTCCAGCCACCGGAGAGCTGCAGTTAACGCCTCCATATCCATTCTCATGCTAGATGTTGTGGTGTCGTATGCTAAGCTGTCTTGCTCTAAAGATTTTCCATTGGCTTTCGCTACGAAACGCCAGGCACTTCTCTTTACTCTCAACACTGAACCATCTGTATAGATAATCAGATCACATGCGCGTTATTTATCGTGAATCAACTGTTGGACTTCCACGTTCGCAGTAAACACGTCGAAAAAGCAAGGACCGACACAAGTTGTTTGCGAAGTATTAGGATTACACCTGTAGCATCAGAAGAGAAAGTAGATTATTATGGACTGAAGAGAATGATGCACCTGGGTGTGACCAGAGGGTTCGGCCGGCACACTACGCTCAGAGGAAAGGCAAGACAGTCATACAACAAGACTACGACAGACATCATTAGTGTTGGAACTCTACACTGGCTGCTGAGGATGGGCACGGGGTGCATATGGGAATGGCCTGAGTGCTGTGATGTCAATTCTTAACTCAGCTCAACTGTAGTATCACTATTATTACACTGCACAGCTGTGCAATGATAACTTGATAATTTGCTTGGAGTACGAGGAAGATCTGTTCTTTAAAGGTCTTTTGTGTGAATGACAAATCTGTATTTACTGTTTTCTTGGTATGCATGCGTTGGGAGTTCTTGAGTTAACGGATACCTGGATTAAGATCTATACAGCGTTGCGTGAGAACAGGATGAAGTGATTGCTTCACACATTGACAAGCCCGAACACCCAGTTCAAACTCCAAAGAAATTAAAATTAAGGCACCTCATACAGCCATACCAGCCTGGCGTAACGTGTAGTCCTGTGTTAGAAAAGATTTAGTGGCAATATTTAAAGGCTGGAAAGAAACTGGCAGGTACAGAAGACTCAACAGTTATGTTACTACTGTTATATTCTGTCAGAAGCCTGGGATCCCGAACGATACCCGCTCATCGATTTACTGAAAGCTATTTATGTGCTGCTGGCCAAGGTTGCAGAGGTAAGTGGTTACGCTTGCAAAGTTTCAGTAGCCAGACGAATAGCCACGCAGGACAAAGGGGTATGCTTTGTGCTAGTTGGAATATTCATAAATACAGCAGTATCTGCGTATAGGCATTCAATCCTTTCTTGTTCATTGAATGTATTATATAGGTACTTTAGTTAAATTTTCAAAATGTATGTCATTTCTGAGCTGAGATATGTTGGTTTTTGTGGAGATGAGATGTAGAAAGCAGCTGCTAAAACTTGCCTCCCAGAAACAAGAGGTTTTCTCTGCGCAACCAAACTGCGCAACTTTCGTTTTCGCTTTGTTTACATTGGACAAGATGGCAGCCAATGAGACACAGCCACTTGCTGAGCCAGCGATTGCCTGAAAAATGTCACTGTACATCTACCTAGCCACGGTTCAGAAAGAAATTTTACACACAAATGTAAAAATGGACGGAGAATTCAATTATAACTAGCATTACCAATGCCAGTAAAAGTTAAAGCCTAAAGCCAACCTTGAATACTTAGCGCTATTTTCAATCAAACTGATGTAACAGAAAAACAGAGGACGTCCGGCTGTCGTAGACATGCGCTGTTAATCGGGTTCCTTCCCGCTGTTTTCAGCTATTTAGTGTGGGTGAAAATCACACCAATCGCAAAATTTCATGAGAGATTAGGACCCATCCTGAAACCCCAGCCGACATTTCCGAAGCAAGTTCGAACGGTTTCCGTGGTAACGGAAATTGCCAAAAGATCACAAATTTCCGGACACCGTAGTCGCTAATGTATACCACACAATGGTATACCAAACAGGGCATATACCAAAAAGGGCATATACCAAACAGTGCGTATACCAAACAGAGCGTATACCAAACAAGGCGTATACCAAAGAGGGCATATACCAAACATGACGTATACCAAACAGGGCGTATACCAAACAGGGCGTATACCAAAAAGGACGTATACCAAACAGGACGTATGCCAAACAGGCCACATACCAAACAGGCCGCATACCAAAGAGGGCATATACCAAATAGGGCGTAAACCAAACAGTGCGTATACCAAACAGGACGTATACCAAACAGGCCGTATACCACAGAGGGCATATACCAAACAGGGCGTATACCAAACAGGACAAATACTAAAGAGGGCGTATACCAGACAGGGCGTATACTAAACAGGACGCGTACCAAACAGGGTCTATACCAAAGAGGGTATATACCAAACTGGGCGTATACCAAACAGAACGCATACCAAAGAGGGCGTATACCAAACAGAGCGTATACCAAACAGGACGTATACCAGACAGGACGATACCAAGCATGACGTATACCAAACAAGACGTATACCAAACATAATGTATACCAAACATGACCTAAACCCAATATAGCGTATACCAATTAAAAACAGTTCCCGTGGGAAAAAATATTCTGTTTTATCATCATCCAGTACTTTGCCGACAGGCATAAGCGATCAAGTGTCTCTCCGCACTCTGCGATCAGTTCATGTGTTGACACCCTCCAAGCCATTCCAAAAAGCTGTCAAGAATATTCTATCAAGAAACAGTTTCTATAGCATACAACATATTTCAGTTACATTTAGTACAATTTTTATGCTAAGAATTAAATATTGTTTATAATTGTAGGTAATTCAACCCCACCATATTCCAAAATTTGCTATTAATATTTAGTTGCTTATATGTATATTAAAAAGTAAAAGTGAAGATCCCTTTTCACGCCTGTAGGCGCATCGGGCATATGGGGAGAGCACCCATATTTTTACAGACGAATCGGCACTAACTAGGTGGGTAATGTAGGCAGCATTACACCGGCCGTATTTTCTTCCCTAGGACATACATACTGGTACCCATTTTAGGCTGGGTCGACCTGCGACGCCCCATACCATGATAAAAATCTACGCAGCCTGCAGTAGGTTTCCATCGCGGTATTTGGAATTACGAGACTTATATGTCTGTTATAATATAATAAACCTTTTATAAATGAGATAATGCATTCCAGATGTAAGGGCTAAGGGCAGAATGTCAGACAGGCCTGGGTGCCTTATTCTTTCATTACTGAAAATAAAGTTCGTTCACTCATTATCAGGAAGAAGCCATACAGGTCAATGGAGTTCACTTAATCAGCTACCTCTCATCGTTGACCCTCAAACAAGTAACACAGCTGACTCCGAGTTTGGCCAAGTTTTTTATCAGCACTATTCAGGTAACATTTAGCTTGTTTCATTCAGGCACAGCGTGGTGAAAGTGGTGCCTTAAGTATAATGTAATGAATGGGGTGTAATGAATATGGTGTGATATACACTCACATGCATATATACACATATATACACATATAAATACATATATACATGCATATATGAATACATAAATACATACACACATACACACACATACTTCCGGTTAAAATGGACGCTAGACAGCGGCGCTGTTCGAAGCAGAGGCAATTTTTTTGCTTCTGCCGGATGGTGGCCGAAGTATTTTTGCTCCATTCGTAGACTGGATATAGTTTCGTCGCCCAGCTTCTGAGTTGAATGCATGGCGTGACCCTGTGAGCTGCGGATTGCATTTGGAATGTTTTTTTGACTGTGACCAACGTGGTGGTGTGAATTGTAGATTCAGAAAATGGCGTGATGCCTGTCGTGCAATGTTGGCTGTGCCCGCATCTGGTTAAAATTGATCGCGTGGACAACAGCTGAACTGTTGGCGACAAGTTCTGCTATCATCAATGATGAACTGCATTTCTAATGTTGGACTGTTTGTGTTAGCACTTCGGATGGCTACCGTAAGCTTTAATGCGAGTGTATGCTAGATATGCTGAGACAGCAGTCTGTCAATCTTTCCACAAGGGACTGTGATAAACATTCTGGGTGTTTTTCGTTGGCACAGCAGAGGAGCAAAGATGGGGCGACCCATTGCTATGAAGCTGAAACTAAGACTACCAGACTACCAGACACACATACATACATATAAAGTAGCATCTGTTCTAAGATATATGTTCTCTTTTTTTTTCTGCTTTTACCCTCACAAGGATGGCTGGCATGTTGTTTTGCAACTTACAGCTAGGCTGTGATTTCTGCGCTTTAACAACTCAACACATCGATTGCAGCAAACTTCTAATTAGTCGCCTTTTACAACATGCTAACTACAAGGAAGGGGGGGGGGGGTGGCTCTGTTTTTTTTATAGGCGGAGGGGGTGTGGGGCAGGAAACGATATATGTTTATTTATTTATAATCCTGTTTAGGATAAATCTTTATTTCACTGGGTCTCCGTGGTGAAGTGATCAAACCGTTTGCCTCGCACTCTCAAGGTCGTGGGTTTGTTTCACAGTTGAAATGTTCCGTTCACTAGCGCAATATCTGCAAAGATCCCGTGGGATTGTCACAGGAGTTACGGAGTTAGTTCGTGCTCTGTGTAGCGCCTACTCTCTCTCTCTCTCTCTCCCACCTCTATCTCTCAGCAGACAGTTAACCCTTCTGTGGAGAGAGATCGAGCCATCGGGATACAACCCGAAGCAGTGAAGTGAATCTTCGTGACTCAACCTAAAACTGACCTGAATAGGGGAAATAAATTTATATTCATTATTTTCTACGATACATATTTACATATATAAGAAGGACAAATATTTATATAAAAAATCTTTCTAGGAGATATGTTTATATATACTGAAGTCTGTTTTGGGAAGTATGTTTTTATATAAATAAGACTTGTATTAGAATATATATATATATATATATATATACTAGCTGTACCCGGTCAAGCGTTGCTGTGGCATAGTTTGGCTAAATGGAAATGAAAGAAAATAGAAATCGCACGTGTCTAATACAATCATTGTCTGCTCAGATATAGAGATAGTCTTTGATCCCCACCCCACCACTCCCCCCCCCCAACTAAATCCACCTACTACCCTCCCCCTTATCAAATTTATGTCATTACCCCCCCCTCCCCTCCCCTCCCCTCTTCCACCGACTACTGCTTTCTCCCTCTTCGAAATATTTGAAAATCATTACCTGGCGATATTTTGTTGTTGCTGTAACTGACATTGACATCCCTGTCCATCTGGACTAAAATGGGGAGCAGGAATTGTAATAGGTAGTGAATGGGGCTAGTTTAATATTTACCACATCATCCTTCAAGTACCAGTTCAACTACTAAAATAATGTCACTGCTATCTGTGTTACCATCGGAGTAGACAGAGAGTCGTGAATCAGAAGATTTGGTTCCGCATGGCTAGTGCTGTCGCCACAGACTGGTAAGGTTAGGATGTATAATTTCACTTGCCGACAGAAGAACGCCATAACCTTACCGGCGGTCTTCACATGAGAGCATTATGGTGTAACAGCCCAACCACAACTATTACTAATGCTGCTACTTTAAGTGGGTAAAGCAGTTACTGTGACTTAAAGCTCTCTCAGTAAATAGTTTGCCCCCCCCCCCCCCAATTCACCGACAACTCTTTCCCTCATTGAAGTAGTTAGGAGAAAAAAAAAAACTTGAAAAGCAAATGAACACAGCAACAACAACAACAACAAAAAAAAAAAAAAAACCACCATAATTAGGAAATGAACGCCATGGTAAACAGCACAGCTTAAAATTCCAACGCAGATGAAATAACTAAATCTAAATGAAAATAAATGAAAATCTATAAAAATTTCAGCGTAACCATGCAATCGGAAAGTTTAATAATGCAATCATAAGTATGCGAAATGGTCAAATTTAATTATCAAATGGTTTACCCATTTACTTGTCTTTTTTTTTTTTTTAAGGCAACATTGCTAGTGCTGTCACCACGACAGAGCAGATGAGGATATTATTTTAGTTCGGGGTAAAAAAAAAAATTAACTACTGTGGATTCGAACCCAGGTCTCCCGCACAGGAACCCAGTGTTCTAACCATTCGACCAAGCAGCCACTTAATCGGATAAAGGAAAAAAGAACTTAACAATTAGAGATGTGTGTCCCTACTTCTGTGTCCTGATTAAAACACAATTCAAAACCGCAGGCAATTGTTTTCTTGTAGACAGATACTCCAGATATATTAATGAAACGGCACAACAATAGAAATCGCACGTGTCTAACACGGTTAAGGAAGTTAATGTCGCAGTCAATGTCTGCGCCGACGTCGAGATAGTCCTTTCCCCCCCCCCCCCCCCCCCACCATCGAAGGTTGTTTGAAAAAAAAACAGAAAATAGAAATCGTGTTTAATATGGTTATTGTGGCAAATATAGAGATAGTCTTGTTTGCTGTACCTAGACCTATTCTATGTATTAGAGAAGGCGTTGGCTGCACGTAACTCGCCGGCGAATGGCGGAAGCCTTGCGTTCTGACTACGGCGGCGCATGCGCAATTACTAACGTGGCTATAATTAGAAATCACTAAAGTTATAAACATTAGTTGCGTATATTATTGCATAAATTGTCGTCACCTATCTCTAACAGTGACAGGTTGAATTTCAAACCACGACAGTTTAAAATCCGGTATCACAACAAACATATCCTGAAAATTTCAGCTAAATCGGTTCAGTAGTTTCCGAGTCTATAGGGGTGAAACAAACACACAAACATTGATTTTTAAATATATAGATACGCTTGTATAAGGGAAAGGGGATATATATATCCCTTTCCATTATACAAGCGTTATACATACGGTATGCTGATGACAGAGTACCGACAGCTGAAAATGCAAATGATCTACAACAATTATTGGACACTGTAGTGAGGGGAAAAAAAGGCTGTTCTTGAATGTAAAGAAAAAGGAGGTAATGATTATATCAAAGAAAAAAATACCACTACTGTGGGATATTAGAATAGGCCAGGCTAAGGGTGCATTTCACAGAATGAAGAACATCTTGTGTAACAGGTCCTTCTCTTTGGATGTCCGAAAGAGAGTACTAAAATGTTATGTAGAACCAAGTTGCTGTATGGTAGTAAATCATGAAATGTAGATGTACAAATTAGCAAGTCCTTGAAGGCGAAGGAGATTTGGTGTTTCAGACGTATATTAAGTATCCCTTGGACTGCCGAAGTAACTAACAAGGATTGCTTGAAGGAAGCTAATGAAGGCAGATCAATATTAACAGCTACAAGGAAAAGATGGGGGCCTTATGTTGGACATTCAGTGTGAGGAACTGTTTGCTTCGCGGTGGTGTGACTGAGGACTGACTTGGTGCTCGCACAGATGAACAGTGCAACAGCTAGTGGACAGTCAACTAAAAACAGGAACCAGGACCCATCAAAACCAGAACTTAGGCAACAAAGAACAAACTCAGGTGTAATTGCTCACCACAAAGGAAAATAACTAAAATAAGATAGCAAAGGAACCGTCCTTGATAAGGCAGGCCAACAGGCGGCTAAAAAAGGACTAAGCTTGGAATTTTTGTTTGATTTTATACGATACGATACGAAGACAAGCACTGTTCTTTGGTCATGTGGTGAGTGAGGAGGCTATGGAGAAAATTGTGACGACCGGAAAGATCAACGGCAGAAGAAGGAGGGGCAGACCAAGAGAGAAGATGGCGGATGGACTGCGACGGTGGCACAGAGGGATATCGTCGGTGGAACTAATCCAGAGAACAAGGGACAACGATCTGTGGAGATGAATGAATGCCTTCGCCAGGTGGGAGGGCACGTGATGATGATGATGATGATTTATACATACATATAGACTCTATTCTAGGATATATGGTAATGTATAACATACATTCTATTATGCATATTTATATATTAAACCTGATATAGGATGTTCTACCTATGAGGCTGAAAAGATACGATATCGTGAACGAGCCAGCATTGTTTGACGTTGTCTGGGCTATCCTAAAACAGTTCATGAAGGAGAAGCTTTTGGGGAGGGTAAGTGAAATGCCATACCCACCTCTCACACAGAAATACTAAAGCCGATTTGACCATGGCTAAAGTTGCAATGTGTAATGTCGATGCTCGTGTTCAGCCACGTTTCGCAATCCCATACCATCACCATCATCTTCTAGCAGATCTGTGTTCTTGTCTCAGCATGTATGTGGCTAAGACACCCAAGCATTTTTGTTGTTGTTGTTGATATTGTTGTTGTTGTTGATGTTATCTCTCCTTCACTCTTTTCATCTGCTAGTTATCACCAAAGGTAAAAGTTTATTTCACCTTATACCTTATACCTTTTGGTCTTAATAGCTCAACGGTTGTTTTCTGTAGTCTAGGACAATGGTCTCCAACCTTTTTCAGGTGGTGCCCCCTTGAGTATATGGCAAGACCCTCACATAACATATGTGAATAAAAAGAGGAGAACAAAAACGTCAAGAAAAACAGAGAGAGAGAGAGAGAGAGAGAGAGAGAGAGAGAGATAGAGAGAGAGAGAGAGAGAATCAGTCTCCTAAGCACAAAGAGGATTGCATCGCTTGATAAGTTTCAGATAAGGCATATGGTGGATTTCTATCCAGAATTAACAGGTGTTTGAGGTAATTATCTGATCGGATAGCTGCTGCGGTTCCTGTAAACGGCGATCTAATTTATGATCAAATGGATGGGTGGATACGTTTCCTGGGATCAGATCGACAGTGCAGCATGAAACATTAATCATCCGTATCTAGCAAGACCATTCTGAGAACAGGGAGCAGAGAGACGGAACTTATCCAGTTGAGACAAAAAAGACAATGGAAATTTTTCGTTGACTGCTGAGAGCACGCATAGAAATGCCCAGAGGACAGCGGTGTTCTGAATAATTAATTATTATAATCTTGGAACCACGGTAAGGCAATATTTAGACTTTTGCCTGTCGACCAGAAAGTCTTAAGTTCGAATTCTTGACAGAGAGATTTAAAAAATAAATGACATTTGCTCCCAGGTCGATAATGTTTAAAATGGCTACCAGGGGATGTCATTGGAGGTAAAAAGGGCCGATGTAATGCTGACCACATTACCCATCCAATGCCGATTGGTAAATACAAATATGAATCTACTAACACGCTCTGTGTATCACTGAAGTGAAATGCCTCAGTTACTTTTTACCATCTACTGAAAGTCCCCTTCTGTTGAAATATCAAGTTGTGCTGATGTATTCATCTTTGTAGATTTTCCTCAACGGAGACAAGTTGGATAAGTTACACGCGACAATCCAAACAGAGTTTCTGCCTACAGATCTGGGAGGCAAGCTACCAAAATATAGTAACAAGGTGAATCTAATACTGCAGCATTATCATCTCCATTATCATCATCGACTCCCAATTTTTCCTCTAAACAGTGTGAGGAAGGAGCGGTTTGCACTCTATCGCTTGATAGTAAAACTGACTAGCATCGTTCCGTGTTGATGTAGAATGTCTTCAATGCCATAAAATCTTATTGGCTGCCCTCTTGCTCTCACATCCGATCTTTTCATGGTGGCGCTTGTGTTGGTAGGTGTTGTGGCTGCAGTTAAACGAGATGACCAAACCATTTGATATTCTGCTTCTCAATTAGTTTGGCGCAGTGTTGTTTCCCACAATCTGTCTGGTAGTTTCATTTCTTGGAATTCTGGTTAAGTTGGCTACTTTCCTCGGGTATCTCTTCTCGCAAGTGTTAATTGTACGTAGATTAGCTGGGGCATTAATAGCATTGTGTGTGTATGAATATGCTGTTTATAATCTTTGTCTTGGCAGTAACATTTATGTTTGGATGTTTTTATAACCCTATCAGTTGGTAAATAGGATTACTTTCCCTCTGACGTATTGTTTCAATTCCCAGTCACCGCTGTTGTCCCTTGAGGATTGACTTCCTAGGCATTACACACACACACACACACACACACACACACACATATATATATATATATATATATATATATATATATATATATATATATATATATATATATATATATTACATTTTCTGCTTTAATCGAATAAAGATTTATTCGATTATGAGAGACAAAATACTTGTTCATGTCAAGAGAATGAATAAATGCGAGCTTGGTGACAACTGGCAAGAAGGGAAAAAATGGAGCACATGGAAGAAAGAGAGATAAATACGCGGAGATGACTTGACCACAGTGATTACATCGTAAAAGAGCACTGACCGCATCCGTAGTTATAGTGATCGTGGGAATCGTGAGGAGAGTACGATGACAACCGACTACGCTTATCGGCCAGCTATATTACAATACTGAATTTTTTATTTCCTCAAATGGAGCAAAGGCCCTCAACAAGATCCCCATTCAACCTCCAAAGAGGTTATAACTATAGCTACACAACTCGGTGTGTACCTGCAGTCGTGTGCGGATATAACCATGTGATGAGTCTACAAGGCTAGATAGTATCAGCGATTTGTACCATAGTGTCTTTCTAAATACATGGTTAAGATCCTACGACAACCACTCACAGAAATGAAACGTATATGGTCGATAATATAACACATATATTTATTACATTGGCACTCCAACAAAACTGATTGTTAAAGCATAAACACACAGATTAGAGGGCACAATATGAGATGACTACGAATTTCTTATATGGCAAGTCACTTACCATTCACAGATCAGCTTAGGGACTTCAGGCCAAAATTGAGGAAAGGCAATGCAGAATGTCAAGCTTCGAAGTTATGTTTGGTTCCGACAGCGCTTTGCTAATGCAGTTTCCACATAAGGACGGTAGTCTACGGTTTCGCTGCCTGAGCTACTGAGTTTTCAGTGACTGGTTGCAGCCCTGTGAGCTGTGTTTTTATCCTGTGGAATGTCTTTAATTTGTGGAGCGGATGTGTTGTGGGATTCAGTATGGCTGGTAGCGGGTTTACGTGTTAGTTGGTGACAAACTTATGTGATAATTCTACTTGTGTATAGTAAGCAATTTATCGTGACCGACTACTTCCATGAACGACAAACTGAATTTTTGGTGGCGATTGTTGACTTTGGCGCCTTTAGCAACGGAAATACGCATTTACTGAGTGAACATTTCTGGATTGTTACGGGACTATTTGTATGTTCACCAGACATTTCATTTACTTTGCAATTGCACAGGAACGGAGCAAGTATGGGGAAACCCGATTGTGTTGTTGACATCTCGACTAAAACTAAGACAAAGATCTGCTTAGAGTCCCTAAGCTTGTGGTGGGGAGGGGGGAGCCCCCCCCCTCCCAGCAGACCCATGCGTTGAGACAGCCCTGCATTCCCCCCCCCCCCACCACTCCTTTTCACCCTTTCACCATTTTAAAAATTAAGTTATGCTGTTGTAACAACTGGAAGTCAGATCGAATTTTATCTGGACCTTTTTCGGAAATTCCAGTTTAGCACTGAGTCGACTATTTAACAGCAATCACATATAGATACTTGTATTATTGTTTGGTAATCGATTTGAATTCATTTATAGTTGCGTGTTTATCTTCTGTTACTTGTATGTGTTTGCCAGGACTTGATCGAGTCGCTGCTGGCCTCAGACGCCCAGTTTGAAGAAGACAACAAGTTTGGTTTCGTGAAGATGAATGTGAACAGTGGTAATTCTGTCAGCAAAAGTGGAGATGCCGACATGCAAGGACTTGGCGGGACATTCAAGAAACTAGAGATATAACTAGCACATCATTTTTGTTGTTGTTGTTGTTGACAAATGTATTGAATGATTTTCTTCAGTTGGACAATTATTTTTGTTATTTAACATTTAAAGCACAGTTTTTATAAAAAGGTAGTATTTCTTTCACCCTCTTGTTCTTGGCCTTCTGGTTAAGATAATAAGGCCGTATCTGTCACTGAAGTACTGACGCGTTCGGTCGGGGGATGTACCACACGCTGGCCAGGTATCTAGGGGATGCGTATATAAACATCAATTCTCCGCAACTACACACGATAGTCAAAGTCGTCCCCCTGTGGGTTGCAATTTTTTTTTTGAAGCCCCACCTCGGCTTGTGCTAGGACCCTAAATATTGTCATGCATAGATATGGCCTAGCGGCTGAACTGGGTTTCCGGGACCTCTCCACGGCTTGTCATCCGCCTATTTGCACTTTGTGTCACCAGGTGTTTATCGCTTGCGTGATGTCCTAGTGGGGTACAACTTACATACATACATACATAAAAACAACTACACACTGGATTCCCTCTGTCCGTCCACAAACCATGCGGCCTACTTTCCTTGACACGGCGAATGCTGATGGTGATTATAGCTGGAGTAAAGGGGGCCAACCCAAATAGGAGCACCACAATGAGCCAGGTACACGTAACACATTAACAGATCCTATCGTAACCATTAACATTGTCTACGAGTACTATAATATAACACTAAACGCCAAGTATGATCTTGTAGTACGATCAGTCTCTTTATTATGGACGAACACAGGATGCGTACAACAGAGTACCTTTGGATTTCCTATTGTCTTAGATTCTTGAACCCCATATAAGTCTATTCCCGCTTTATTGGATCACTTCTGCCCTCTTCCAAAGAAAAGTAGTGTTCAGATGTGGCAGTTGGACTTCTTAGCCAACAACAATACATCCCGGCCTGCCACTAGGATCGCCATTATCCCCTTGTTGCGTGCTCATTTGGGAGAGTTGTAATATTGTGGAAAGGAACAAAGTGGTATGATAGTTATTTCCGGAAGTTCAAAGGAATGTCCCGGGAACAGTGTCAGTATTGGCCCAAGTGGTGAGGGAGAGTCGATGTTGGGACCAGTGAGAAATGTATTGGTACGGAAAGGACACGAACGCTCGAGAAAGTAGATGCGTGGGCTCACTGCGGGGGCTGACAGGCATAGCTAACATGACGCATGGAAGAAGTATGAACTATGTGCCAACATGATTCTCCTGTAAGCCTGAGCCACTCATATAAGTGATTCTCGTCTAGTCTGAGAACGCCCACATGAGCGTGAATCTCGTGTAGCTGAGAACGCCCACACCAGCGTGCCTCTCGTGTAACATCCGCAGCCCACATGGGTCCGGCAAGGATATATTGGGACTGCGTATTCAGTCAGTCAGAGTCTCTCAAGTCAGTCAGTATCTCTCGAGTCATATCGTGAGTATCTTGAGTGCGAGTCAGACAGAGTACCGTGTACCCGTTAGACAGTGAGGTCTGAGTGCGAGTCTCGGGCACGGTACGGTCGAAGGTAGAGTCCAGCTGGCAAAGTTAGGCCAAGGGGACTGGACGCTTCAATAGTAACTGTTTTGGGTGACGACACAAGCGAGGCGTATGATCATCATGGAAACAGAGCAGGGGAGGCCGACGAGAGCTGTATGCTAGAGGAGACTTGTGCTAGAAGTCCTGTCGGTCATCGGAGTCCTTCGACAGCTAATGTGCTGTGGCACATTCTGGAGAACGAGCAAGTGAAGTATGTTTCCAGTCTGCTGAGTTGCTTTCTGAAGTAGAGTCAAGTTTCAGTAGATAGGAAAGTTGTTCCTGTTCTTCTGAACAGCAAGCCCAGAGTTACTTGACTCTGTAGACCTTACGAGCTGTAATGGTCAGGGAAGAGGTCGCTACAAGTGAGAGAGAGAGAGAGAGAGAGAGAGAGAGAGAGAGAGAGACAGACAGACAGACAGACAGACAGACAGACAGACAGACAGACAGACAGACAGACAGACAGACAGACAGACAGCTAGATAGATAGATAGATAGATAGATAGATAGATAGATAGATAGATAGATAGATAGAACGAACTTTATTTTCAAAGGGTCACAAATTGGGCACGCAGGCCCGTCTTACATTCGGCCCTTCCAGTCAACCATCTTTCGCTCAGCAATTGTATTTTACTAATAAAGCATGTTATGATCATATGATGTTATGCATATTATGAATATTATAAAAGAACACAAAAGCATGAGTTGTGAAGTGCATGCAAAAACCCGCGCGTGCATACATACACCCACATACACACGCTCACCCAATCACTTACACACACAAACATGCATGCATACATTACATACATACATACAAACATGCATACACACATACACACATACACACAGGCATACGTACACACAAACATACATACATAGATACAAACATACAGGCATACATACATACATTCATACATACATACGTAATACAGGCATACACACATACAGTCATAAATACAGTCATGCATGGAGACACACACATGCACACACGGACACTCCCACAGAGACACACACACTCAGACAAAAATACAGATTAGATAGATAGATAGATAGATAGATAGATAGATAGATAGATAGATAGATAGAGCTCGATAGATAGATAGATAGA